GCATGTTAGAGAAAAAAGTAGGGTTTTTTTTTTTTAATGTTGTGGAGAAATTGTGTTTTTCCACTATATTGTTTGTGAAATGTTAGAAATTAAGAATGTCTAAAACCAAGAAAAATTAACCCACTCTCCTTCCATTCCCCTGGTTTCAGGATTTCAGAGACCAGACTGTCTTTTCTGAAATATGAAATCCGGTGTTTTGATTTGTTTGGATTCCTTGCCAGAATTTATAGTCTATGATCAATAGTTTATTTCTTACTATTCTAAATGCTATTTTGAAATAGTTAAGCTGGAGAAATAATTCCATTAATCAAAATAAAGAGAAATGATAAAATAAATGGCAACATAATTTGTCTCATTTTTAGCTGCAGAGGTTCTGATGCAAACGATGGAGAAATGGTGTGGCTGGTAGACTTGATTCTCTGTGTCTGTTTCCAGTGGCGCAGAAGTAAAGAACCCGCCTGCCAGTGCAGGGGACACGAGACGTGGGGAAGATCCCCTGGAGCAGAAAATGGCAACCCACTCCAGAATTCTGCCTGAAATCCCATGGACAGAGGATCCTGATGGGTTATGTCCCTGGGGTCACACAGAGGCGGACATGACTGAGCACGCGCCCTTGTGTGTTTCCAGTGGGCATTTCAGGTGGCTCAGTGGGTAAAGAACCTGCTTGCAATGCAGGAGATGCAGGGGCCTTGGATTCGATCCCCAGGTCAGGGAGATCCTGGGAGAAGGGCGTGGCAACCCACTCCAGTATTCTTGCCTGGAGAATCCCATGGAGAGAGGAGCCTGGCGGGCTACAGTCCATGGCATCACACAGAGTCAGACACGACTGAAGCGACCGAGCAGGCACACACGTCTGCTTTCAGTATCACTTTTAGATTCGCTGTATCACGGATCACATTTCCAAATTCAGAGGATTTGTCTCAGCAATTTCTTACTCATGTAAATCCAACTCATGTAAGCTCTTGAAACACGGCATCCATTTTTCCATTAACATAGCATAATGTCCGAAGTCGTGAATGTAACTAGTGATTTATCCGAAGTGACCTGTGACACCGGGAGCCGCAGCCTGCTGATGGCTTCTTGGGAAAGGTCCTTCTCAGCAAGACACTCTGTGTACATCGTGGAGCATTTAGCATCACCGGGCATGTCTAAGGCAGGCCTCGTGTGCAGACTGACTTCCGTCTGGGGCCCAGAAGACTCCTGCATGTCCTGGGGACTCCAGCACTTGTGTGTGTCTGTCACTGACCCTCACACATGAGCACATATGCATTCTTCTACCTTGTAAGACAAAAGGGGTGAAAAAGTAGGTCTCATCAAATTCCAGAAGTCAGTATTCATCCCTGGAACATTGAAATGCCTTAAAGAAAGACATGTTCCTTTCAGTCTTACTGAAGAACCCACACATCACACAGCCGCCATAGAGAAAAGCCAAATTTTCTAAGAGCAGTCTTCTCATTTTCTGATGACTCTTTCTTTGTGGGACAATCCGTTTGTGCTCAGATATCATGTGTCCACTTAGTTTAAGTATTTCTGTGACTGCTTTCTCCCATGACTGCCTTTTCCACAGCGTCTGATTGCTTAGATGCATTGCGTTCATTTCTTAAAAAGCCCTGTAGGCCTGCCGCATTGAGCAGTAAGGTGATGGTCCCAATGAGTCAGGACGTGAAAATGACTCTCTCAAAAGTGAGATGCTATTTGAACACATCCCTTCATTTAGGAAGAGCAGGCATGTCTGCCTCGAGATTTGTGGACTGAATTGAACACCCTGGTTATCTGGGTTGGATTCTGCAGTCCTCCCAAAATAAGTAGTTTAAAAACTTTCTGAGCCTGCAGTGTGAAACTTCAGTCCTTTAAGGACACACGGCCATCCTCCTGTTTCTCCTCTAACGGTCCTTTTTCCTTCTCCCAGTACAAGTTTGTGAATTCTGGTCCACAGGATGGGAAATCCAGGGGCTGCCTGGGGAGAAGTCTGTGTTGTTTACAAACTGTAGACACACACACACACACACTACACACGCATGTTCATACACATTCTTCACCCATTTATGGAATCCCCGGCAAGTCTGTTTGCTACGTACAGTTACTTCCTAGAAACACTCAAAGCCAGTCACCTAACAGCCAGCAATAACTCCCATCTTTCTGTCGTGAACACAAAGGCCATTTCCTTCCTTGAATGAACGCCATCGGAGATGGATCTCTATCTGTGTGATGTCGCTGTGCAAAAATACAAGGTATCCTTCTCAGGTTACTGCAGGCCTCCCTCATAGCTCAGCTGGTAAAGAATCCACCTGCAATGTAGGAGACCCCGGTTCCATTCCTGGGTTGGGAAGATCCACTGGAGAAGGGATAGGCTACCCACTCCAGTATTCTTGGGCTTCCCTTGTGGCTCAGCTGGTAAAGAGTCCACCTTCATTGCGGGAGACCTGGGCTTGATCCCTGGGTTGGGAAGATCCCCTGGAGAAGGGAAAGGCTACCCACTCCAGTATTCTGGCCTGGAGAGTTCCATGGACTGTACCCATGGGCTTGCAAAGAGTGGAACATGACTGAACGACTTCCACTTTGAGCTTGATGCAGGAAATTCACCATCTACTTAAGGAAGTTTTATCACCTCTGTCATTCTGTTACTGCTTCCTACATTTCAAATAAGCCCCTGTTCATACCATTGTGCCCAGCCCCCAGCCCCGCATAAAATATTGTTGGTTTCTTTCTGACTTCCACTAGATGTCGACTAGACATCTGAATGCAGAGCTTTCCATAGGGGTTTTCTGAAACTGTTAACTAAAGAGAAGCATTTAATTCATTATGTCAACCGGACCTTCCTCCTGAACTTATTGCTAGGCTTGCTGCAGGCATAGCCAGAAAGCAGTTAGAATTTCACATGAGTGCTGCATTTTATGTGGGCATGCTAATTTCAAGCTGTTGATTTTACTTCATGGAGACTTTAGTTGAAGGTTAATGCAGTTAAGTGAGATTAATCTTGCCCTGTTGTGTTGTCTTCAGATTGTAAGCTCCATTGTTCAGACAGTAATGCTTCAGACATCGTCTGAGAGCCTGTCTGAAACCTGGGGCTCACCTTCATACTCTCTTCCATCTTACAGGTCCCATGACTTTAGAACACCCCTTCCGTTTTTCCAACACAGTCGTTACTTATGGCAATGAGTGGAATTCTCTCAGGTCCTGACAGATCTGTGGGAGTGTTGTACTGTTTGTTTATATGGCCCTCAAATTTAACCCTGTTCTGGAATTGTCATTCACATGTAAACCTACTCTGTACTACAGAGCGTTGCTTTAAAAGAATTGTTGTTCACTTGCTAAGTCATATCTGACTCTTTGCGACCCCATGGACTCCAGCACTCCCGACTTCCCCGTCCTTCACCATCTCCCAGAGTTTACTCAATAAAAAATTATTATTTACTAAAATCCATACTTGATTCAGATTTCCTGTTTTCCCTTCATGTCCTTGACCCTTTTCCCGGGTCCCCTCCAGGATACAACATTACATCTAACTGTCATGACTCCCTAGGTCCCTCTTGACCATGATTTTCTCAGATCTTCCTTGTTTTTTCTTTTTTTTAAAATATATTTTGGCTACATCATATGGCTTGTGGGATCTTAGTTCCCTAACCAGGGATCAAACCCATGCCCCTGCACTGGGAGCGCCGAGTCTTAACCACTGGACTGCCAGGGAAGGCCCCCATAGCACTGCGTTTTTGAATCCTCCTCTGGTCCCACCTTGCCATCTTTTCAACCTTTTCTCCAGAGCTGGTTCAGACCCTAGGGTTTGCTGTTCTCGTGTGCGGACCGGAGCCGCCCGGTGCGTCTCTGTAGATCCCGGGAGCTGCCCAGGCGCCTCGGAAGGCATCACAAGCTCCTCCTCCTTGTGCGTCACGTTCAGTTCAGTTCAGTCGCTCAGTCGTGTCCGACTCTGCAACCCCATGAACCGCAGCACACCAGGCCTCCCTGTCCATCACCAACTCCCGGAGTCCACCCAAACCCATGTCCATTGTGTCGGTGACACACCAGGCCTCCCTGTCCATCACCAACTCCTGGAGTCCACCCAAACCCACGTCCATTGTGTCGGTGATGCCATCCAGCCATCTCATCCTCTGTCGTCCCCTTCTCCTGCCCTCAATCTTTCCCAGCATCAGGGTCTTTTCAAATGAGTCAGCTCTCTGCCTCAGGTGGCCAAAGTATTGGAGTTTCAGCTTCAACATCAGTCCCTCCAATGAACATTCAGGACTGATTTTCTTTAGGATGGACTGGTTGGATCTCCTGGTGGTCCAAGGGACTCTTAAGAGTCTTCTCCAATGCCACAGTTCAAAAGCATCAGTTCTTCAGTGCTCAGCTCTCCTTATAGTCCAACTCTCAGATCCACACATGACCACTGGAAAAACCATAGCCTTGACTAGATGGACCTTTGTTGGCAAAGTAATGTCTCTGCTTTTTATTATGCTGTCTAAGTTGGTCATAACTTTCCTTCCAAGGAGCAAGCGTCTTTTAATTTCATGGCTGCAGTCACCATCTGCAGTGATTCTGGAGCCCGGAAAAATAAAACCTGTCACTGTTTCCATTGTTTCCCCATTTATTTGCCATGAAGTGATGGGACCGGATGCCATGATCTTAGTTTTCTGAGTGTTGAGTTTTAAGCCAACTTTTTCACTCTCCTCTTTCACTTTCATTAAGAGGCTCTTTAGTTCTTCACTTTCTGCCATAAAGGTGGTGTCATCTGCATATCTGAGGTTATTGATATTTCTCCTGGTAATCTTGATTCCAGCTTGTGCTTCCTCCAGCCCAGCATTTCTCATGATGTACTCTGCACATAAGTTAACTAAGCGTGCGTCATGAATTACAGCTAAAGCCACACATGTCTGCCGGCCGACTCGGCGGCTCTGTGACGGTCATTGTTTGTGCTTTGGGTGACTCTTAAGAAAGTAGTGAGACAAATGCGCTTCGAAACCGGAAGGCAGAAATGAGCTTTTCTCTTGTCTTTTTTCCTCCAGGGGAGAGACCATTCTAACGCAGATGCTGTCCACACAGTGCCTCTCAGAAAGGGAACCTAGAGACACACTTGGTCTGTCCGGTGCCGTGACCTCATCCGCAGTCCCCCTGCACGTCCCGACAGCCACCCTGGCTGCCCCGTGGGAGACCCCCTGGCCGGACACCGCCTCGGCTCCTGCAGCCACCCGCCGGAGCGGAAGCTGAAGGGGGGCTTCTTGTCACGTGTCTAAACATCGGCGAAGATGCTCTTCTTAGAATTACCTGTAGATACTCTACATGCATCCATGTGCTCACCAACCGTAGTCCGTGTTTTCTTACAGTAAACGAGGTGTTGGCAGGCACGGCAGGAATACAGAGCATCTGTATCCTTCAAGACAGGTTCGAGACACTGGAACGATGCTCGTGTGTGTTGGGTGGACTGGAGCAGCCACGCAGGATGTCGGAGGACCGCGGGGGTGACGTCGGGACCAACGGCAGGGCCAGGGGGTGGGGTGCGGACAGATGCCCCGGCCTCTCCACGTCTCAGTGCGTATCTCAGATAGTAAATAAGAGGCAGGACGGCTGTTCAGGTGCTGTGGGAGCAGGCTTGAAGGGGCCGCGGGGGGCTGGGTGACGAGGTCCTCCGTTTTCAGGGGTCCCATCACCTGTCCCAGCTGTGTTCCGCTCCCATCTGTGCCCAGTGAACCCGACAGAGGACACACGACTGTGGGAAGGCGTTGATTGTGTTTTGGGAAAGAGTGCTAGTTGAACACTAAGAAAAGCAGGCTTCTTTGTTTATTCTCAGGACCTTCTGGTAACAGGGCTACATTCTGCAAACTGCTTACAACGGAAGACTGCCCGTCTTAACAAATGATCTAGCCACTGAACCCCTCACCCCCACCCCTGACCTGGACCCTTTGAGTCAGAGCGGGAGAACCCCTGGAGCAGGTGGGGGGGCCAGGTCACCCCTTGGTCCTGGCGCTCTGGGGCCCTCTTGCACCCACACACCCCCCCCCCCCCGCCTTCCTGTCCCAGCAAGTAGGCATCTTTTCTTCTCGGGCTTGGGGGCCTTCACTCACTCGTGAGTCCCCTCGTTCCCAGAGCGTGGAGGCCCCCAGGCCCGTGGATGGGGGCGGCTTTATATACCTCTTCCTCAGTCACACAGAGGCAAGTTTTAGCGGGGGGTTAAGGCCCATAAGAAAGGATCTTAAACCTTGCAGTGTATGCAGTTAAAATTGTATTCCGCAGAGATAAATGTTTTCTTTTCCCATCGCCATGACACTGTGTGTGATGGTGGGGTTTCTGAGACGTTCAGGTTTTTGCACATAGTGATCTTATGCATTATCACAAGTTACTGCTGCCTTGAATGAAAATGTTCTGTGAAATTTTTTGCAAAAGCTTTACTAGGTTTTTTTTTTTAAATTGAAATTTTGTAAAGGCAGGAAACGGATTAAAACAAGCATGCTAAATATATTTTTCAAAAAAGCAATAATTTTACATGTACAGAAATTATCCTAACCTTTAATACTGGTGAGAGCGACAGTTTACTTAATACAGTAATGGATTAGTGCAGTTTTTGTAGAAATGGGCTTCTGATACAAAGAGTTGTTTAAACACACACACATACAAACCCTAAAGTGTGGTTTTCCTGTTCTAATGATTTGTTGAATTATATTATTATTATTATTATTGTCATTGTTGTTGTTCTTAGTTAATGTTTGGTTCTGGATTCTACTTGTTACTGAATTTAAATTACTTGACGGTTCAGGTTACTTTGCAGCATTTGCAAATGATGCAGTGTAACTGGCTAGCTTATATCTATAAATATATATACATGTATGTACACACACATATATGCATATATGTGTATGTATATATATATAACTTTTTTACTTATTTTTTCCTGATATTCTTACACCAGATATGTTCCAGAATGACCTCTCGTGTTGTTGTCATTAGGGATGTCCGTGCAGATGTGATCAGCAGCTGTAATTGACTGTCCTGTCAAGTTACTTTGAACAAAGCCACAGAGACACATTCCTTTGTTCACGCCGGGAATCAGAATGCCTTTCTGTCGACTTACGTTTGATCACGTCTGTAGTCTCCCCACAGTGATCATTTCTGCATTTTCTGGCTTTTATTTTCTTGGCTGACAGTGAAGGGTGACAGTCCAGGGCCTGCTGTTTCTGTTTTAGTTATTAAAGGAGCTCTGTACCCAATGTGGCACAGAGGAGTTGCCTATGTGCGCTCCTTCGGGGCCACAGACGGCATCCGGGGAGCCCCTCTCTGGGCAGCCTGCTGGAAGGGGTGCGTCCTGGGGCCCTGTTGGCCGGACACACAGCCCGAGCCTGTTGGAATACTGCTTCTGCCTGGAGCACAGAAATAAGTTTTTCACTTCATTCAGCAGACTGGGGGTGAGGGTCCCTCTGAGGATGCTGCCTCCGAGAAAAGCCGTCTGGGGCCTGACTATGGTTCCTTTCTTCCACTGATCATCAGTATTGTATGGGTTTGCTCATGCGTTGATGTCAGTTTGACCATAGTATTTAATATGATTTGTGTTTTACTTATTTATTTAGCCAATGTGGTTTGATTCGCTTTTTCTTGAATGAGGATTTCCGCGTGGTCTCTCCTGTAAGTCACCTTCCGACTGTTACAGACTTCCTACTACCTCTCCCGATCTGCTGTCTCCTTGTTTCTCGACAGGATCTTGCAGTGTTGGCGTCAGATGTAACCTGGACAATAAAGGGTTTGGTCTTGCACTGCGGCTTCTCCCTGTGTCTCCCCCGCCCCGCGCTCCCGGCCTGCTGGTCTCACTCCTGCTCCTTCTTGCTCACGCCTCTTCCTCCTCGTCCAGCCCAAGTAACACAAATGACGAGCTTATAGAGGTCTTTCAGGTTATTCACTCTTATTCCTTAACTTGAAGAATGAACATTTATATTTTCTGAAAACTCAGCCGTTCAGCACCTTCTCCAGGCATCCGTCCATTGTCCTGTCTCTTCTCTTCCTTGGCTCCTGGGAGGCCTGGGGCCATCTCAGACAGATGTGTTTCCCCTGGGCTATGACACAGTACAGATCCTCAAGTCAAGGGGATGGTGCCTCCTAGGCTTTGAGAAGTACTCGGTACTTTAAGAGCTGCCTCCCCATGGCTACTTACTTACCTTTAAACCAAGAAAGACACTCCTTTTCGTGAAGATGCTCTGGGAAACGGCCCTGAGAATGACAGAGGCCACTTTGGTGACGTGAGGGAGCCTGGATTGCACCCAGGATGTCAAAAGCGTCTTTAGATCTGATCTGCACGCTCCGTCCCAGGTTGTACACAGACGCGCCCAGGACGTGCGTGCTCCCTGAGCTGTCACCCAGCTGCATCCTCTGCGGGTCACAGGTGAGGCGGCCTCCGCCGCCTCCTTGGTACCTGGCACGGGTTTGGGCACCTTCTGTCCACCGGGAGTCAGAGTGTGGCCTGCAGGGTGGCAGGTCTAGTTAGAGTGTGGTCACAGCTGCACAGAAGCCTCCTAGCTTTTCACAGGAAGCTTCTCTTCACCCACATTCCGTCTTCAAAACAGGCAAGTGCCCCCCTCCTCGCCCCGCCCTGGGCGGTCTGAACAACGCACAGAAAACAGCTGGGTCTCTCCAAGTTTGCTTTTCCACTTTCCAAATGTCTCCAGGTCTGAAGTAGCGTGTGCTGTGCCACTGCTTCTCACCTGCGTGAGTTCAAATCACAGGACACTTTATACGCAGAGCAGAAAGGAAGAGAAAGGAAAACGACAGGCCGGGACTTCAGGCGATGGTTCAGGTGCCCCTGTACGCGTGTCTTTGTGGGATGACCGAGGGAAAATGTTCATTCTTCAACTTTGCTAATTTTGCTTTGAGGCAGTAAAATGCAAAAGACCACAGAATTTGTATTTCTTTTTTTAAAATACAATTTATAACATTATATTTTGTACTCTTTATATTAGAATTTGTAACTAGATTGATGTATTTAACTCTATTTCTGAAAAAAATAATTCAATGTTTCAGTTGTGTGATAAAAATATTTAGATAAGACATATTCATTTTATTGGAAATTGAAATCAATAAAAACATCTTGGAGTTCTTGAGTTCTTGAAAAGACCTTTTTCCCCTGTTTCAGGAGGTGGCTTAAGTCGTCTGACAGCCCGTCTGGGTCTAGCGTTTGGAAATTTTTCTTGGCTGAAGACAAACCCAGCTGTTAGTGCTCTTGATTTATATAAGCAGAAGAGTTTTGGGGATGATTCCACAAGATGGTTCATCTAAAAAGGTGCCAAGATGGCCAGAGGATTTTTTTCAAGTTTTTTGTGGACTCCAGGGCACGCACACTGTTTCTCTTCTAAAGGTGACTGTGTTCCTCATTCTCCCCCAGCATCTCTCATTCCCTGACACCAAATACAGCATTCTTCGACTTGTAGTACATTTGCTGCTCAGATGGCAGAAACAGGAGTTGGGGCCCTCGGATGCACTAACAGAATTACATGTGGAAAGATAAACCTGAGCTTTGAAGTGAAAAAGATTGATGTCTCAGCTGGCAGGGAAAGGCAGGGAGGGTGGGAACCTGAATGTGGCTTTCACGTCTGTCAGGGCAGAAAGTTGAGGTTGGACAGTGAAGGGGGCATCCGGGGGGGTCATGGACAGCCCCCTTATGCCCCTACGTTCTCAGGTGGAAATGAGTTTGAGGGGCTTTCAGAGAGTCTTTAGGTTTTGCAGACATCAGACCCGGACCTTGCATGGGATCTCAGTTTATCGGGACTCAGTTTATTGTGAGTCAGTTAATGAGAGCCCCGTCCCCCCAGGTGGCTGGGTCTGGTGAGAGGGTGCGATTCTCAATGCAGAGGCAGCGCATTCCCTTTCGGTGTGTGAAACAAGGAGGAACAAGCCCGGGTGTCTGTGTGTCACCAGGTGAGTCCCCTCCAGGGAACGTGGGTGTGTGATTTCCGTGGATTCGAACCAGATGCACTTTCCCCGTCCTGGGGTGTCCTACGCGTGGCTGCACTCTTCCCTCCAGGAAGACGGCTGTCCTTTCTGTCCATCCACTGGTCACCAAAGAGCCACGTGCGTGTTCTGCCACATG